GTGCCCCTCCTCCTCCGCCAGCTCCCTTCTCCACCTCCTTTTCCCCTTCCTCCTTCTCCACCAGCTTCTCCCCTCCTCCTTCTCCACCAGCTTCTCCCCTCCTCCTTCTCCACCACCTTCTCCGTTCTCCCCTTCTTCATTCTTTACCAGCTTCTCCTCCTCCTCCCTCTCCACCAGCTTCTCCCTTCTCTCCCTCCTCCTCCGCCAGCTCCCTTCTCCACCTCCTTTTCCCCTTCCTCCTTCTCCACCAGCTTCTCCCCTCCTCCTTCTCCACCAGCTTCTCCCCTTCTCTTCCACCAGCTCCATTCTCCCCCTCCTTTTCCCCTCCCTCTTTTCCACCAGCTTCTCCCCCTCCTCCTTCTCCACCAGCTTCTCCCCTTCCTCCACCACCTTCTTCCTTCTCCCCTTCTTCCTTCTCCACCAGCTTCTCCCTCTCCTCATCCTCCTCCTCCTCCTGCCCCTACTCCTTCTTCATGACCTTTATTCGACCTCCATCACCTTCTCCGCTCGTCCTCCTCCCCCTCCTCCCTTCCTCCTCCTCTTCCTCCTCCTACTCCATCACCTTCTCCCCTCCTCCTCCTCCTCCTCCTACTCCATCACCTTCTCCCCTCCTCCTCCTCACCCTACTCCATTACCTTCTCCCCTCCTCCTCCTCCTCCTCCTACTCCATCACCTTCTCCCCTCCTCCTCATCACCCTACTCAATCACCTTCTCCCCTCCTCCTCCTCCTCCTCCTGCTTTTTTGTATTGAGCTGGTGTCTTACCTGAAGTGGAAATTGCCATATTTGAGCATCTATGCGAAGTGAGCATGCGCATACTCATTCTATATCATTTATTTCGCAGGTCAGAAATTTCGCACACAAAGACGAACTGTGATTGGTCGAGTCGGGACGCATGCGAAGTGCGCATGCGCATACGCGTACGCATGCGCATACGCATCCTATCTCAGAAATTTCGCGCTACACCGGATCTACGTACCTTGTATAGTACAAGTGTCGAACTGCCTATAACGAGGCGAGTGACCAAAAGTGTCCGAGGCGTGTCCCTGCGACCGGCGTGCGTCTACATTCTAATCACATAATTAT